AAGCGAAAATTTAAGCACAATTGGATAGGTATAAAAGTGCGGATTGCTAAGAATGCTTTTCTGTCATTTACAACAAAATAAAATTAATAGGTAAAATTTATTATCCACTCCCCAGCCCTTTATTCAACATTTTTAGCTCTTCTGAGCCAAAGGCTCAAAGAGCTAATGCTATGGCCATTTGTGCGGTGTGCGTCGTGCGGTGTGCGTTAACTTTTCAGAATATTGGACATAACTCAAGAACCCCTTGGCCAATTATTGTCAAATTTGTCACAGGGTATCCTTGGCCCAAGGGCTAACATTTATACTAAAACTAGGGGTGGGACCCTAAAACAAGGGGAGATAATCACAAAAATAAAACCAAAAGTACTGGTTGCTAAAAAATCTTCTTCTCCAGAACCACCAGGCAGATTTTCACCAAACTTACATACAAGGGTCGGGATATGTTGAAGATTAAAAATTGTTCAAGGCATGACCCTGGGGCAAAGGGCGTGGTCTCAAGGTCACTTCAAAGTTGACCAAAATTTACACTAATTAAAAACGTTGATATTTTGCTTACTATAAAGACTAGGATCATCAAATCTTGTAAGTTGATGCATCTCAGGACTTGACATCATGTTAATGCAAAAGTAGGTCACGGTGACCTACTTTTTAAATTTTTACAGGCTTTTGTTTTCAAATCGATTTGGAGGCATATTTTGGACACTTAAAGCCTATGATCATAAAACTTTGTCAGTTGGTGTATCTTGTGTTCGCAAACAACATCATCTTAAAAGTAGGTCATCGTGACCTACTTTTTGAATTTATTGGCTAATCTTTTCTAAAACATTAATTCCATTATTTCAGACACCGAGAGGTTTAGAATCAACAAATCTTGTAAGTTGATGCATCTTAGGGCCTAAAAACATATTTATTAAAAAGTACGTCACTGTGACCTACTTTTTGAACTTTGCAGGTCTTTGTTTTCAAATTGTTTAAAAGGCATATTTTGAATACTATTAGACCTATGATCATCAAATTTTGTCAGTTGATGCATCTTTCGTCTTCAGAAAATGTTGACCAAAAAGTGGGTCACTGTGACCTACTTTCGACATTTTCTGGCTAGATTTAAGTATCTCGGGTACTAATTGGCTTAGAATCATCAAAATTTGTCAGTTGATGCAACTTGGATTTTCGGAGAATGTCAACCAAAAAGTAGGTCACGGTGACCTACTTTCGACATTCTATGGCTAGTTTTATGTATCTCAGGTACCATTTGGTTTAGAATCATCAAACTTTGTCATTTGATGCATCTTAGGTTTTCTGAGCATGTCGACCAAAAAGTAGGTCACCGTGACCTACTTTTGACATTTTATGGCTAGTTTTATGTATCTCAGGTACTATTTGGTAAACTTTGTCAATCGATGCATCTTAGGTTTTCGGAGCATATTGACAAAAAAGGAGGTCACGGTGACCTACTTTTTAATATCTCAGATACTGATTGGCTTAGAATCATCAAACTTTGTCAGTAGATGCATCTTGGGTTTTCGGAGAATGTAGACCAAAAAGTAGGTCAGGGTGACCTACTTTTGACATTTTATGGCTATATTTAGGTATTTCAGGTACTTATTGTTTTAGAATCATCAAACTTTGTTATTTGATGCGTTTTGGGTTCTCAGAGAATGATGATCAAAAAATAGGTCACGGTGACCTGCTTGTGACATATATGGCTATATTGAAGTATTCTAGGATACTTATTGGCTTAGAATTGTCAAACATTGTCAGTTGATGCACCTTGGGTTTTCGGAGAATGTTTAGCAATAAGTAGGTCACTGTGACCCACTTTTGAATATCTCAAGTACTTATTGGCTTAGAATCATCAATCTTAATCAATTAATGCATCTTGTGTCCTCAGAAAATTTCATCAAAAAGTAGGTTACCATGACCTACTTACAGTATTTTATATTACATTTAAATATCTTCAGCCCTTACTGGCTAAGAATCATCAAACTTTGTCAGTTGTTGCATCTTAGGTCTTAGGATAGATTGTATAATTTATCAGAAGAGCGATTCAAGGCCCTTGGGCCTCTTGTTTATCTTTGAGAAAATGATGTGTAGGCTACAGCCTTTTTGCCTAATTGAAATATACACCACTTATTTAACACGTTTGGTCAGTAAACAATATAACTCGGTAGTAACCACTTCTGTTGCATTGTGAAGTCACAATTAAGCACGACGTTTTGTTCAATTTGTACACCAGGTCACATGATCTTCACAATCAGTCTTAGCTCTAAATGTTTTATGTTTATTGCACGATAGTGAGGGAGACATGAAGTTCTCTTCCCACATGAAAATTCATATTCCCCGAAGATTGATTGATTGTATACTGTTTAACGTCCCTCTCCAGAATATTTCACTGATATGGAGACGTCAGCATTGCCGGTGAAGGGCTGCAAATTTAGGCCTATGCTCGGCACTCAGGGCCTTTGAGCAGGGAGGGATCTTTATCGTGCCACACCTGCTGTGACACGGGGCCTCGGTTTACACGGTCTCATCTGAAGGACCGCCCCATTTAGTCGCCTTTTACGACAAGCAAGGGGGTACTGAGGACCTATTCTAACCCGGATCCCCACGGGGGTATTCCCCGAAGACAACATGTGTGGGGATATGACAACACGTGTGGGGATATGATTTTTCATGGGCGAAGAAATCTTTATATCTCCCTCACTGTCATGCAATAAATTGTTTATTATACGGAATCAAACCCTTTATCACATCGTCAAATAAAAATGAAATTAAGAAAAAAAATATTTTGGGAAACATTAAAGGAGCATGGACACAGTTTCAACTTAAATTTCAAAATTTATTTTTCCAATTTTACAAATATCTAACAAGGTAATGATTTTCAAAAATTTAAATGTCAGTTGTCGAGATACAGGACATATTTAGAGCTCCAAACCTTTGTTATGAAAACTAGGTTCGTGTCATGTTTTTGTTTACATATGATATATACTAATATATATATATGTTCATTTAGAGTAGATAATTTCAATAAAGTGGTTAATTCTAAATACGATTCGACACTTTCTATCGCTTTGCTGAATTTCATTTTGTTATGAATATGATACCTTCTATATGCAAACAAAAACAATGCACGAGCCTTGTTTACCTTATGAAGAAATTAAAGTTCTGTATCTCGTTTGTTAATCAAGAAATGGTGTTCAAATTTTTGCAAATCATTAGATGATGCCTAAGGTAGGAATTTTAAAAATCAAAACTGGTTTAAAAAATTCAGTTGAAACTGTGTCCATGCCCCTCTATCAGGAAGTTCAAATTAAAATTATAAATAAAAAAAATTGTTAATGATACACGAACTTAGAACCAAAATAAAAATAAGCAAATTCAAGGAATTCTTGTCCCTCGATTTCGGTGCCTTGTTCTTTGGGGTGTAATCTATGACCTTTTGTAACGGTCGAACTTCAAGATCAAAGTGTTAAGATCACAGGATCAAGAATAATAAAAAATATGGAAAGATTTTGTCATGGGTAATATATATATGAAATATGAAAGCCTTATCTTTTCTCATTCAAAAGTTTTACCGAGGTTCAAGTATTTGTGACACTTACAGACGAATAGACTGACAGACAGGCAGCCAGATGAAAGAAATTTTATGTCTTCTGGCTTTCGCGAATTTAAAGAAAAACATTTAAAAATAACTGTGACACTAATATTCTTCCATAGTTTTCCATTATCAAATTTGACAAACGTGTACACTCTACACTGGTAGACTTGTGAATTGCTTTTGTATTTTATTTAAAGTGCGACAATATAGATACAGGAAATCAGGTAGAGAGATGACATGGATGAAGTATAAATCGTTGTATACCCCGTTGTTTGTTCGGAACTACATGCTTAGATGTCCAAATAACCTTTCATGTCTAGATTACGAAACTAATACCACTGCAAGATTGGATTTAAGAACTTACAAGTCTTTTTATTTTAAAACACGATTAAACTCAAAATAACACTGTGTTCTTCGTTGCAGGAATTATTATTACACATCATTCACTCAATAAAAATGTATTGACACAACAAGTAACACATTTTTACACCGGAGGGGGGGGGGGTGTTCACACCCTAAAGATAAAAATCACCATTAGCATATAAATAAGACTCTTGTCAGAAAATTATTCTTTTTGGATGGATTCTTATGCCCTCGTAATCGAAGAATCGGAGGTAAAGACCTATAATTTTTGCCCTGTCCGTCCGTCTGTCTGTCTGTCTGTCTGTCTGTCTGTCTGTCTATCTGTCTGTCTGTTTGTTCTATTTGTCGTCATAAACTTAACCTTGCCAATAACCTTTGATTGGTTGGAGCTATGGATTTCATATATTTCACATGTATATTCCTTGTGACTAGACCTTCATTTGGGTACCAACATATTTAATTTCTTAACCTTGACTTTGGAGGTTGACCCAGTTTTGCAACCAAAAAAACTTTAACACTGACATAACTTTTGATCAGTTGGTGCTAGGGCTTTCAAATCTCACATCTATATTCATCGTGATAAGGCCATGGGTGCAAATATTTTTGACCTTGACCTTAGAATTTGACCCATTTTTTAACTTTAACTTTGGCCTTAACTTTTGAACAGTTAGTACAAGGACTTTCAAATCTTACGAGGTGCGTTTCTTGTATCAAGAGCTTTTTTGGCAATCAAAAATTTTGACTTTGTCCTTGGAGTTTGACCTAATTTTGATAAACCGTTGACATAAGCTGCCATATTGGGCCATCAGCGTTTCACAAAAATATCTTGTTTCAAATCATAAATTAAATATTAGTCGGTGTAATATTTCGAAGGACAAGAAAGATCATTGCCACATCAAATTTTGCACGAACTGTTAATATGTGCCTTTGTAGATCCTTTCTAAAAATGAATCTTTGATGTTTCGGATTAATAGTTTACAATTTATAAATGAGAACAATACACGCTGATATGTGAATGGTTTTCTATTTTTATTTTCAGGACACTAATAATGAAGCGAATAAATCAGCAGAATCAACCAATTGTAGCCTTTGCACTCTGAATGGAGAGCATCGAGCAGCATCCTGCTTCTGTACTTCTTGTGAGATACCTGAACCATTGTGTGATGAATGCAGTCGACATCACATTCGACAGAGGAATATGCGAGACCATTCACTCTCAACTGATATAAAAGCTTTTATCACTTACCTAGAAAATAATGTCATTAACTGCGAACTGTGTCTTCTTGATGGTGAGCAGAGAGCTGCCACTTCCTTCTGTCTAACATGCAAAGAACCGGAAGCACTTTGCAAAGATTGTGCCGCTCAACATATAAAACAAAAAGCGTTCAGAAGTCACCAGATCACCAATGATAGAGCAAAGTTACCAAAAAAGAAGAAACTCTTGTGCGAGCCATGCACTACTGAAGGAGCTAAAACTCGAGCTGATTCATTTTGTAAAGACTGCGATGAGCCGGAACCTTTGTGCAAGAATTGCGCCGTTGAACACATCAAACAACGGCAATTCAGAAACCATTCAATTTGTGGCGATATAAGTCAAATTCCTCTGAAACAAATGAAAATTTTAGAGTTTTATGCACCCTATGTAAGGAAGAAGGCACAGATACTGAAGCTACCTGCTTTTGTAAAGATTGCGATGACCAAGAACCTCTGTGCCACAAATGTGCCAGACAGCATACGCGACAGAAATTTTTCCGAGGACATAATCTATGTAAAGATCTATCACTTTTACAAACTTTAGGAAAGGGAAAGGTCTTGTGCGTTAATTGCAAGGCAGATGGAAAGGACGTTCTTGCTGAAGCATATTGCAAAGATTGTTCAGATTCCCAGCCACTGTGTAACAGTTGCGCAGATCATCATGTTAAACAGAGAAAATTCCGAAATCATAAAATTGAAAGAGATATTTCTTTATTGATAACACTTCAAAAAGAACTTGATGAAGCATGCAACATTTGCAAGATCGATGGAAAACGCGCAAAAGCAACAAAATTTTGCTATGACTGCGATGAGTTTTTATGCACAGAATGTATAGAAATACATTGAGCATGTACTCACTGACAAATTAAGCAGCAACTTCCCCTGCGAGCCATGTAAAAGGGAAAAAAGAAGTGTATCAGCGGATTCCTTTTGCGAAAATTGCAAGGAACCTATGTGCAGAACATGATCCCAGCAGCATCTGAAACAGAAACCATCCAGAGGCCATATCATTTCATCGAATGTGCTGAAATTTTTCAAACTCAATTTGAAGAAAGAAAATGTTGAAGATAATCCTATCCTAAGGTTTGTCCTTTTTCTCTTTTCCTTCAATTTGAATGCATCCTCGTTACTTTATTTTCTTATTGCAAAACAGTTTTATTCATATTGTCAATTATCGTGGTTCATGCTAATATTTTTTAAAAAAGCTTTGGATTCATCATAATTTGCAAAACAATTTTAAATGATGTTAAGTCATTCTGATTATTGATTATTTATTTTACATAGATTGAAGACTAAGGGTATTCCAGAAGAAGACATTGTTTCAAGAAGAAATGAAGTATATATATATATATATATATATATATATATATATATATATATATATATATATATATATATATATATATATATATATTTACATTTGCAAATGTTTTCCTTTATATAACACTACTGAAAGCAATGCGTATCTATAACTGTATAAACACAGGTACGGGGTCAAGAGGTCATAGATGTGCGTATGGACAAACGTTTGACGTAATTTCTCAGTGACGTCATAAAGGGTCGACACGCGTTTAGTGGATTACATACATGCCGTTGGGTTTGAAAAATAAATCATTTCACATGTTCAAAGTCACAATCTTGCAAATATAAAGTATGAATAAGTCACAAATGTAAATATAAGTAATAAGGTATCATTTTAAAACATCTATAGGGCTATAAATACGGGTGGGTACAAGATTTAATTCATCATAAAGCCCTTCGGGCTTTATGGGATTTAATCTCGTGACCCACCCGTATTTATATCCCGATAGAAGTTTAAAAATGATACCTTATTTCTAAATATATATATATATATATATATATATATATATATATATATATATATATATATATATATATAAATTAAAATTAAATCCAAGATAAACAAACAAGTTTACGTTTAATTTTTGTTACTAAGCGCTTTCGCCGTTACGGCTCTTCAGAGTGTAACAATGAAAATAGAAACAACAATTGTTTTTATTTTCATTGTTACACTCTGAAGAGCCGTAACGGCGAAAGCGCTTAGTGTAAAAAATTAAACGTAAACTTGTTTGTTTATCTTGGATTTAATTTTAATTTATGACTTAACCTATACCATGGACATGGACTTCTACAACATTTTCCCTATATATATATATATATATATATATATATTAGGGATGTCAACGAATAGTCGACTATTCGACTGTCAGTCGAATGCACCGACGATCGAATAATGAAACAACATTCGAATATTAGATAAATGCAAGAAAACGGAGTGATAATGAAATTCTCATCTCAAAATTGAAAAAGGGTCCTTCCTCAAACTATACGGCTGTAAAGTATACGTCAAGGAACGATTAAGAGCTCAAACACAGTCACAGTATATGAATAATTTTCCACATTGTACATACCGCGATAATTATTTCTTAATCACTGACCTTTTTTGTTATTGTACGTAGTAAATTATGCAACGCTATATTGGACTGTGAAAATTATTTAACTGACTTGTACAAATATATGTTTATACTCTATGATTTTCAATTTCTTAGCAACACACAATAATAACATAGCCGTGAAGTTTTAAAGTTCGATAATTATTAAAACAATGACCTTACATAAAAGACATTTTGATATATAGCTTGGGCAATCATTAATTGAACAAACAGTATTTAACATTTATATCGGAGGTGTGGACAGTGTGTGTTTACAATTCCCAATTTCCAATTTCTATAAATTTTCCAATTTATTTTAATTAATAAGCTTTCAAAAATACTGTGCTATATAAAAAAAATAAATGCTTCGAATAGTCGACTATCGTTCGAATAATGCAACCGAATGTTCGACTATGAAAAATTAATATTTTGACATCCCTAATATATATATATATATATATATATATATATATATTTCAAATCTACTGATGAAATCGCTTCAGATAAAAATTGAGTTTTTCATTTAAATTTGAATTTTATATAAATAATTTGGTTTTTTTTTAAAAATGAACTTTTTTGCAAACACATATATTTATTATATCATTCTAGATACGAGGTAAACCAAATGCATTTACTAAAAAGTCTGATTCAGTTGAGTTATACTGGGATATTTTAGAAGAGAAAATTGATTATTATCATATAAGATATAAAAGCCAAAAGGGAAACGACAAATGGAAATTTTGCAATACAAATGACACAAGCAACCAAATCACCATAAGTGGGCTAATGGCAGATACTCCCTATGTATTCCAAGTCCGAAGTGTTGCCAACGACATAGAAGGGGAATACAGTGAACAAAGCGACCCCATTTTCACCACCAAATCCTTAGCAACTAAGATGCTAGATTTCTCTACCAAAATACCGGATACGGATCCTGTAAAGTACCAATTGTTATTGGAGGAAAATGGGGATGCCCCAACACACATGCAAAGAAGAGACAGCTCATTCTAGGTAGGTTCTCAATTATTATGGGTCATTGGAACAAAACCTTTCTGTTATTGAACTACATCATTCTGATTACAATATTACTTTGAATAGGAGACCCTTCAATTGGAATTGAATATGAAAAAACCATGATGCTTGTTGGTGCGACAGGTTCAGGAAAGAGCACGCTAGTGGACGGTATCATCAATTATATTTTGGGTGTCAGTTTTGAAGACCCTTTTCGATTCACGCTGGTAAACCTAGAGCGAGACGAAAAGAAAACTGAAAATCAGGTAGATGTTTTTATTCATTATTGTCATTTTGAGAAATGATAATCAGAACTCGTAGTTTTTGAAATTCAAATTTCTTAAAAGTTTCAAGTTTTTCCAAAGAAGAATCTTCGTATACTCCTTGTCATGATTGGGTAAAAAAAATGTATTTTCATTATATTGATTACATGTACATTGTATTTTTAATAACGTTTATTACATTTGTTTTTACAATTAATTGAATAAAATTGAATACAATTACATTGTATTTTTGTGTATATCAGTTAAAATAGAAAACAAGAAAACACAAAAGACAAACGTGTACATACGGCGTTTAAAATCGTGCGTGCATCACAATTATGATGATTTTTCCTAAAACATTTTTTTTTTATTTAAGAATAATATTTTGAAAATGTGCGTTTGAACTTATTTGATTGGTTGTATGTTGTTTTTCGTCCCAACTGATTTTTTTTTCACTCATATAGAGACATCACCATATACTGATGAAGGGTTTCAAGTTTCAGGTCTATTGAGCGGAAAGGGTACTTTAACATGCCAACGCCTTCTGTAACACGGGACCAATGTTTTAAGAGTAAAAACATGTAGGGACGCTGAAGTTTTTAAAAGTATTTTTTGTGCTTTTTGAAATTTTTCTAAAATTCTCAAAATATAACATTATTATCATTCAGGCGGAGTCTCAGACAGAGTGGATCACCGTATATAAAATTGCTCCACAAGAAGGAAGTCGATTGGACTACACTCTCAACGTGATAGACACCCCAGGATTTGGAGATACACGTGGAATCGAGAGAGACAAGGTTATTGTTGATCAAATCAGACATTTATTTTCAGCTGAAGGAAAACAAGGTGTAGCATTCCTTGATTCTGTATGTTTTATTGTCAAAGCCCCTGACGCACGCCTAACACCTTGCCAAAAATATATTTTCCATTCAATCATGTCAATTTTTGGTAAAGATATTGAATCAAATATCTGTACATTGATCACCTTTGCTGATGGAGCAGAGCCCCCCGTCCTCTCGTGTCTTCATGCAGCAAATCTCCCCTTTGGGGATTGGTTTCCTTTCAATAACTCTGCATTATTTGCCAAGAATAAGAATTTACGGAACACCAATTTATCTCCTATGTTTTGGGATATGGGTTGTAAAAGTTTTCATAATTTCTTCGAAAAAATGAAAAAATTTACTACAAAGAGCCTTATGCAAACCAAAGACGTATTGAAACAAAGAGAAAATCTGCAGCTGGTCCTAAAAAATATTCAATCTCAGGTAAATGAAGGTCTGATGAAGCTTAATGAATTACAAAATACGTTAGATCTGTTCAATAAACATCAGACTGACATCAAAATTAACAAAGATTTTACATGTGAAACAAATGTTACAAAACAAGTACAGCTTGAATTGCCCATTGGAAAACACGTGACAAATTGCCAGAATTGTAATAGGACTTGTCACGAGGACTGTGCACTTCCTGACGATGATCGAAAACGTGGCTGTAAGGTGATGGATTCTAAAGGTAATTGTCAGGTTTGCAAATTTAAGTGTCACTGGATTAAGCACAAAAACGGAAGATATATCTTTAAATATGTCACAGAGAAGAAAACGGAAACTTAAAAAGAAAAAAAACAGAATTATGAAAAGGCAAAAGGACTAAAAATAACAGATGAAAAATATTTGAAAGAAATAGGAGCTGATATAGATGACCTTATAGACAATATATTTGCACAGATGGACGAAATGGCCATGTGCAAAGGAAGGTTGAGAGAAATTGCACTGAGTCCCGACCCTCTCTGAGCTGTTGATCACATTGACCAAATGATT